AGCAGGAATTTCAGGGAAACTCTTACACCGAGGTGTGGAAGGGCAAGGAGATGGACAGATGCACTGAGTCTACCTGCGATACCTTTATCACACAGATGTTCTAGAGTCTGCAGCAATTTAAGTCTACAGTCACATGTTCTAGAGCTGGCCCACTAGGTGAGATTCACGTAGTCTAACATTAGATATTTATGATATAGAGGTCTACAGCTGAGTTAGTCATCCAAAGCTCTCTTTACAATTGATGGAGAGAAATAAGCATTATTTCAGTCAGGACCGAGTTTCATAGAATCACAGAATAATGCAGGTGGATGGGGACCTCAGGAGGTCTCCAGTCCAATCTCCTGCTCAAAGCAGGTTCAATACAAGTGCAAACCAGATGGCTCAGGGCTTTATCTAGTTGCATCTTGAAAATCTCCAAGGATGGAGAATGCACAACTTCCTGGGCAGCCTCTTCCAGAGTGTGACTGTTTTCATGATGAAAAAGTTTTTCTTTATATCCAACCAGGACCTCTCTTGTTTCAATTTATGCACATTTGTTCTCATCCTCCTACCACACACCTCAGTCAAGAGCCTGGATCCATCTTCTTGATAGTCTCCTCATAGGCATTGCCAGGCGCTGTTAGGTCCCCCAAAGCTGTCCCTTCTCCAGGCTGAACCAACCCAGCTCCTTCAGTCTTTCCTCACAGGACAAGTGCTCCAGCCGCTGACTATCTTGTTGGCCCTCTGCTAAACTAGCATCTTCCTTGCCCCCTTTGGGGGAGGGCCCAAAACTGGGCACAGTATGTGGTCTAGATGCAATCTAATGAGCACCAAGTAGAGGAGGGTAATCACTGTCTTTTATCTACTGGCCATATTCTTGTCGTTACAGCCTGGTACGCTGCTGCCTTCTCTACTGCCAGGGCATACTGCTGATTCATCATCAGCTTGCTGCCTGCTAACATCCCCCTTTTCAACAGAGCTGCTACCCAGCCAGGCAGTCCCCAGCCTGGACTAGTGAAAAGGCCTCTTCTTTCCCAGAGGCAGGACATTTGTCCTCATGGAATTTCAAAAAGCTCCTGCTGGCACGTTCTTCCAGCCTGCCCAGGTCCCTGTGGACAGCAGCCCAGTTCTGAAGCACATCAACTGCACTTCTGAGTATGGGATCAGCTACAAATTTGACAAAAGCAAGCCCCATTGCCTCCTCTGCATCACTGATAAAGTTGTTAAACACAGCAGGTCCCCAGATATCTCTCTGTGGTAGTCCACTTGTTACTCCAGGTAAAGTGTAACCTATTAACTATGACCCTCTGAGCCTAGCCATGCAACCAGTTTTTCACCCGTCTAATTGTCCTCCCATCTGGGCTGCAGGGTCCTAACTTGGATACAAAAATATTGCGTAAGCCACTGTCAAACTTCCTTGATGAATTCACCCAAAATGACATCTACTGCTTTCCCTTCATCCACAAATCCAGTCAT